TCCTCATATATTCAGTGTACACACACACACACACACACAACTCTCTGGAGCAGCGGTTCTCAATTTGGGGGTCGAATGACCCTTTCACAGGGGTCGCTCAATTCATAACAATAGCAAAATGACAGTGATGAAGGAGCAATGAAAATAATGTTCTGGTTGGGGGTCCCCACCACATGAGGAGCTGCATTCAAGGGTTGCAGCATTAGGAGGTTGAGAACCACTGCTCTGAGAATATTCATCTGGGTCCCCATGAGTCAGGATTGATGACAACTGTACACACACAGAATTGATGGCAACTGCACACACAACTGTACACACGCACACCATCTGGGTTTAACACGGAAAGAATAGAATTTTAATGGCCTTTTACCTCATCTGGTTCATGTAAGCTGTGCTTCATAGTAGTTAAGAGTGTATGTGTGCGAAACTATTTTCCCAATCAGTCTAATAAGGCCTCACAGTCAACGTACAATCATATTTAGACGTGATTTGGACCCAGGCCAGACTGTACTACCACTTTCAGATCCGCGGTCCTTGACTGTGACCCTCTATGTGAAGGCACTGTTCGTTAAATTGGGGAGGAAGAGAATGTGGTGCTGTTTGGCTCAGGGCATCTGTGATTGTAATCTTTGCCAGGAAAATATTTTTTCATTGTTCATGTTAGCTGGATGGAGATGAAAAATATTGTTTTGTTCCTGTCTAAAGAAAATAAACGCTTGTGTCGTTCCTGTTTTATGCCAAGGGTTCTCTGAAGATGAAGGCGCCATTCAGGCTTGGCCATCTTAGGGTGTTGCAGGGGGAGGGACACAGGTGAAAGGGTGAAGTGTGGGGGTGAAATACGGAGGGAAACGATTCTGGCCAGGCTGCCCCATAGATAGTTTTTTTATTTCCAGGTTTCTTTTTTTCTCTGGTCTGCTAATTTGTGTGTGTGTGTGTGTGTGGGGGGGGGTTAGTTACTATTCTCAGTCTGCCCCACTGTTACTTTTTATGGCCATCATTTCTAAGGCCCCGGGGATGCCTTATCTGTGTCAGTCAAAATTCTCTCGGGGTGACTTGTTAAAATGCCAGCCCAGTAAATCCAAACTGTGACAACGAGGTTCTCTGTCATGAAACCATGGAGACCAGGGGCTCGCGGAGGTTGAAGCACATCATAAGAGCTCCTTTGTACTCTCTTCCCGACGAAGCTCCCGTGGAGGGGCCAGGGCACAGGATCTGACAGTGAGCTTTGGAACTGTGGATGATCCGTGTTCCAGTGAGGTTCCTGGTTCCTGAGTGCCCAGAATAACTCTTCCTGGGTCTGTGAAGTCCCGGTTCTATGGAGATGGGGAGAGTGGTAGTGGGATATCACCGGACTTCAGAATAGACTGCTGGGACAACCCAGCTAATAAGAGAGACCTGGGATCTGTGTCCTGTATTTTTGTCATCTTTGCCAGGCTAGAGCAGGAGGGAGAGTCTTGTACCTCCTTCCTCCCCTGCACACAATCAATTCCTCCTCCATCTGCTTTATGTACTTATTTGTTTGGCTGGATCATGGAGACAGATGCTCTTGTTCCTTTCCTCGATGCGTTATAAGTTTATTTTTAATTGCACAAGTAGCACATGAATACATTTTCATTGTTAAAAACAAAACCAAAACTCTATACAGATAGAGAATAAAGCTCAGTCGCTGTGGAGTTGGATCACTCATGGCAACCGGAATAGAACTGCGCTCCATAGGGTTTGGGGTTTTGTTTGGTATCAATGGTTGTTGTTTTTAATTTAATCTTAATGGTCTTATTGACACGTAAGTCACATACTATACAATTCAATGTTTTAAATAGAATAAAGGGAGTTGTGCAAGCACCACACTCAGTTTTAAAAACAGTTTCTTCTTTCTTGTACTCATTATTAATAACTTCCCATTCCCCCACCCTCAGCAACTTCCCTGGCCATAACCCTGAGACTCTTATTTGGAAGGGTTTTCTATGGTTAATATTTTGGAACCAGAGTGCCAGACCTTTCTTTTGCAGTACCTCTGTGTGGCCTCAAACTACCTTTCGGTGAGCAGTCAAGAGAGCTAACCCTCGACACCAGTTAGGAAGATAAAGAAAAACCTTCCCTTTGATTACCCCATCCCCGATGGCTTCCTTTCCCAAATGTAATTGCGATGACTAACCATTTGGTAAAACCTATCTAGATTTTTTTTTGGAGGAGGATATTCATTAGCACTAACACATTACATAGAGAGGGCCTATGACGGCATTGTGGGGTACACATTGGCTGCTATCAAGGCCAGCAGTTTGAAACCACCAGCTGCTCAGAGGAAAAGATGAGGATTTCTACTCCTCTAAACATTTACAGTCTCAGCAATCCACAGGGGCAGTTCTACCCTGTCACATAGGTTTGCTCTGAGTTGGAATCAACTCAATAGCCATGAGTTTCATTTTCACTGTATTTACATAGAAAAATGTACTTTTGCCAGCTCATTTAGACTCATAGCATTATGCTTTTTGTATTATTTCAAAACTTCCAGCTTTCAAGGAACAATATGTCTTTGAGGACTGACCGAGATCATTTATAATGTCTTTTGCATTTGAATTTACTTCATTCTTTTTTTTATTCCCCCACTGCTATATTGTATGGTGTGGATGGGTCGTTATTCAACTATCCTTCCTATGGATGACTATGCAAGTTTCCATTTTTTCCCGTATTAACCTTTGCCCAAGTTCCTCGTTCCTATGTGCACATACTTAAGCAATATGCTAGACAGATAAAAAGAAATAGGCACGCAGAAGTAGAGTGCTGGTTGAAAACTCTGGACATTTAAATAAAGAATTAAATAAATAAACAAATAGGGCCAAATTGCTATTTAAAATGTGGCATCTATGTACCGACAATGTCCTAGACAGAGCTTGTTTCTCCATCCTGGGATATGGACCATGCTGAATTTAACCACTCTGATTTGCTAACACTTAGCCTGTCACCATCTATTATAATTTCTGTGTCCCTGGGAATTAGTAGGGTTGAGCAATTTTATTAGCCTCAAATTTATTAGCAATTTGTATTTCCTCTTCTGTGAATTGCCCAGTGATATTTTTAGCTATGCTGACTTTCAAAGATCCTCTATCTTCCCTGAGCTCCACTCCCACCCCAAGGTTCGAATGTTTATTTTAACAAAAATGTGCATGAATAGCTACAGAAATATGTGTGTTAAGGGGAGTTGAACAGAAATTCTTTGCTCTAGGACCTGGCCCCATCTCATTAGGTGTGGTCCTTGTGCTAAAGGGAGAAACTTCCTTGACATCTTCCCAAGAGTAAGATTTTGTGAGGCCAAAGATCTCTCATTCCATCTTCTCCTACATGCTGACAGCACGTTTGAATTAGATGTGATGCCAGTGTTTGGGTCTCACTGCAGTGAGACCACCAGTCATGCCATCAATCTAAAATAGTTCAGAAAGCTTAGGTCTCAATGCTGAAAGCCTCCACTTTCTTCCATGGAGCGGCTGGGGGGTTCAAACCACTGACCTTACATTTAGGAGCCCAATGCAAATCTACCCACTCTGCCACCAAGGCTCTTTGAAAGCTTGGTGATCAGTAAACGTGATGGTTAATAACAGAATTCTGTTTTATCTTTGAGGCTTTATGATGCTGAATCCAGTTTTACTACTTCCCCAAATCCCTTTAACAAGGTCTGTTTCTAAAGTAAAGAATCAGTCAACAGAGAACATGACACCTCCCGTGTATCCCCTTCTGGAGAATACACCAAAAATGCTATAGAGATCCCTGCATGGGATCATTGGGTAAGATACTATAGAGATCCCTACAAGGGATCATCGGGTAAGATGCTATAGAGATCCCTGCATGGGATCATTGGCTACTCATTGAAAGATTCAAACTTACCCAGAAGCACCTTAGATAAAAGGCCAGGTGATCTGTTTCCCAAAAGTCCCAGGCTGGGAAAGCCCTCTGGAGTTCAGTTCTACTCTACACACTTGGCGTGGATGTGCCTTGGAATCAATCCATGGGTTTTCTTGCTGTGTTTTTCATTAGGAGATCTTAGGATAACATTCTCCTATGTCCCTTTGATCCTGTAACGTATCAACACTTCCTCTGATAGCAAGACGTAGGTTTCTCTACCCTACACTCTTTTCTTCCAATCTGGATGGTCGGACTCTTCCCTAGACCCACGGCTACTTCTCTCCCACCAAGCACAAACAAATCCCTCTTTTGTCTTGGAACGCAGCAGAATGCTGAAGAAACCTCTTGCGCTTGAAAGTGTGTGGCTAGATCTGCAGCAACAACTGGACTCTGGTTTGTTTTTGTTTTTTTAATGTTATTTAATCCTTACAATGACCCTATGAGATGGGGGAGTGTCTATTGTGACATCCTTTGTATATTTAGGAGTACTGGTGGTGCTGTTGGGTCATTATATGGGTGCTAAATGCTAGGTTGGCAGGTCAAACCCACCAGCTGCTTCAAGGGAGAATGATAAGATTGTTTAATCTCATAGAGATAGGGTTGGTATGAGGTAGAATCAAGTTGATGGCAGGGAGTTTGGTTGGATTTTGATTGGTTTGTATATTTAAATAATGTAAATTTGGACATGGGGTAGATAATGTTACAATTACTGAACACACAAATGGTATAGGCCAGGTGTGACAACAGATAACAGGAGTTGGAATAGGATGTTCTTTACTATTATTTTCTTCTTCCTCCTCTTCCTCTCCTCCATCTTTGTCATCTTCTTTGTATTATTACTGTTTTTATTTTAGTAGCATTCACTTGTTATTACAGACCATTTGTGTGTAACCTGAAGTTTTTTGTTTTGTTTTATAAGCCAAGATCTTTGTGCTAGTATAGCATGAATGAGACTTTGAGTCTATCCCAGCTAAATTTCAAGAACATCCCAGGAAGAGATTTGCTGCATTGATCACTAACGACAGAAAACCTTGTGAGCTCTGGGAGCACATAAAGACCATCATTCATGAAGAAAGGAAAAGGTCATCAAAAATACAGGAAAGGTTCTTGCTTTGGCAGGACATGTTTTGAAATTGGAATGATACAGAGAAGATTAGGTTAGCCTCTGTGTCAAAATGGCATGCAAATTTGTGAAGTGTTCCATATCTTTTAAAAATTCTAGGAGCAGCCAGAGAAAAAAGAGCAATTACATAAAAAGGGTCAGCAATTAGAATACCAGTAGCCTCAATTTGTCAGCAGAAATCATGTAGGCAGGAAGACTATAGAAGGACATATCCAGAGTACTAGAAGAAAAAAAGATCAACCTAGAATCCTGTATCCAGCAATATTATCAATCAACTATGGGGAAGAAAAGGAAGTATTCCAAGACAAGGAGAAACTAAAAGAATTCACAAAAACAAGACCACCATTACATAAAATACTCACTGAAGTACTGTGGCCAAAAAAACAATAGCAACAACACAAAAATCTGAAACCAACATATAAGACAATTCCTCACAAAAACTAGCACACACAGAACAATACCCAAGACAAACAAAAAGCACAAAGAAACTTAATACACATACAAACACACAACACACATATAAACCAAAATGACAGAAACAAATAGTAGATACATATCAATAGTATCATTGAATGTTAATGGGAAAATGCACCACTAAAGATCCAGAGAGGAGGAGGATAGATAACAAAGCAAAACCCATCAATATCCTGCCCCCAAGAAACACACCTCATAAACAAAGACTTGAACAGATTAAAAATCAGGGGCTGGAAAAGCAACCCAAAGAGAGCAAGGGTAGCAATATTAATCTCTGAGAGGATAAATTTCAAGGCAAACAACATAATGAGAGATACGCTTGGACACTACGTAACGATAAAGGGATAAACATATGTGCAGCCAAGGACAGACCCATGAAATAGATCAATCAAATCCTCATGGCATTGAAAAAGCACAGAGACACATAGACAAGGACAGCAGATGTCAACGCACCACTCGCAAGGAGAGACAGAACCCCAAGAAAAACTAAACAAAGACACAAACATGCTCAATAACATAATCAATAAAAATGATTACAGATTACATAATCTGTTGTCGATTGGAGACTTAAGAGTGAAGGGATACTACCTTAAAAATCCGGCTAGACCAGAGGATGTACACTGATATAGATAGGAACTGGAAACACAGGGAATCTGGGACAGAAAACCCCCTCAGGACCAATAATGAGAGTAGCGATTCAATAGAGGCTCAGGGCATATTCACACGAGGACTTGGAACATGTCGTCTGCTGTCACATGGATGTTGGCTGAAAGCGGAGAATACCAGAACAATATTTATTTGTGTTTTATTGACTGCCGAGGCATTCATCTGTGTGGACCATGATAAGCTAAGTATAACTGAGAAGAATGAGAATTCTAGAACATTTCCTGCTGCTCATGCCAAGCTTGTACGTGGATAAAGAAGTAGTTGTGTGAACAGAACAAGAGAATACTGCAAATCAGGAAAAGTGTGTGTCTGGGTTGTATCCTCTCACCATACTTGTTCAATCTGTATGCTGATCAAATTATCACAGAAGTGGGACTATATGAAGAAGGGGCATCAGGATTGGACAATGGCATATTAACAATCTGCAATATGCAGATGACACTTGTTGAAAGTGAGGAGGACTTTATTTGCTAATGAAGATCAAGCACTGCAGTCTTCAGAATGTCCATGACTCAATGTAGAAAAGACCAAAATCCTCACAGCTGAACCAATAGGGAACCTCATGATAAATGAAGACCAGGTTGACGTTGTCAAGGTTTATGTCTTGCTGGAACCCACAGTTAATGCTCGCGGAAGCAGCGGTCAAGAGATCAAAAGATGCACTGCATTAGGTAACTCTGCTGCACAAGTCCTCTTTAGAGCATTGAAAAGGAAGGATTGCAAATGATGTTACTTTGGGGGATTAAAGTGACCCAAGCCATGATATTTTCCATTGCCTCATATGCAGGTGAAAGTTGGACATTGAATAAGGAAGACCAAAGAAAAATTGTTACATTTGACTTGTGGTGCTGGAGCTGAATATTGAAAGTACCATGGACTGCTAAAAGGACAAGGTGGTCTCTCTTGGAAGAGGTACAGTGATAGAGCTTCTTAGAGTCAAGGAAGGCAAGACTTTGTCTTACATACTTTGGACATATTGTTAAGAGAGACCAGTCCCTGGAGAAGGTCATCATGTTTGGTAAAGTGGGAGGGGCAGACAAAAAGAGGAAGGTCCTCAACGAGATGGAGGCATAGCAACAGTTGTGAGGGTGCAGGACCGAACAAGGTTCCATTGTGTTATGTAGAGTCACTCTGGGTCAGAAACAACTTGATAACGTCTAACAACAATGGCCTCCTTCCTCAGTCAGGATATCTCTACTGGTTAAATTGAAAAGGAATGTTTGCTGCAAGGGAAAGGGCTGTTACATTTGGATTTTTAACAAACCGGATCTCAAATTAGTTTATAGTTCCAATATTTTGATTAACAACAGACTAGCTCTTCAACTTTCTCAGAAAAGGAAAACAAACGGCAAGATGTTAAATTTTAACTTAATGTATAGCTACAATAATCCATGCTTCCAGGCACTCTGTCTGAAGACAAGACTATCCGCGTCCCTAGTCAAGGCCTGAGGGAGTTCAATGAAGGTAATCCACATGGAAGGCCCTCAATTTGGTTGCCCTCTGTTTTGTTACCCTTACTCCACCTCTAGATCACTGATCTCTCAGTTGGCCACACCCTTTGCTGCTTGCCCTCTGCCTCTTTCCTCCAAAAAAAGCAACTCACTGCCATGAACTTGACTCACAATAATTGTTAGGATTGAGTAGAACTGCCCTCGTGGAATTATAAGTAGAAAGACAATGGTCTCAAACTGCTGACCTTGCTGTTGGTAGCTCCATGTGTAACCATTACACCAACAGGGCTCCTCACCTCCTTCCTCCTCCAGCTCAAATATTTACCCCTGAATCTCCTCCAATGTACTTGTAACTCAACTACAGGGAGTCCTCTCTGCCCATTAGGAGATTGGCTTGGTATTTCTTTTTTATATATTTATTATTATTATTTTTGGCTTGGTATTTCTTAAGAGATGAAGTGGAGGGGGCAGGTCTCTGCTATTGAATTGACAGTGAAGTTCCTGGTTATTTAGGAAATCCAATACTCAACCCAGGTATGTGCTTTCCTGGCTCCCACCCATAAAATGCACTGACATGCTTCCCTGTCTAGTCACTGGGATGTTTTGAAGTTTCTGTTCGCTGTCATTGTGTCCTGAACCTGTTTGTCCAGGTGAATGTTGAAAACCAGGGAGAATGAGAGACCAAAAAAATAAAATAAAATAAAAATCTCTGCACTCCTCAGCTCTGAACCATAAGCAATTAGGTACTTAATAAATGCTTTCTGGTGGTAGAATGTCACCGGAAATGGTTTCTTTAATTATATATGTTCGAAATTTATCTCCTGAACTTGGTAGAAGGTGGGTGGAGTAGGGAAGAGAGGGAGGCAATTATTGTGTTAAACATTTTTCCAGGGGTAGAAGTTCTAATTCTCATCCACATGATTCCTTGGGGAAGTCTAAGGTGATGCATAGCTTCATGGTTTTCGAACTGTAAATCGGGTTTATCAAGCCAGGTCATTTTCATGCCCACTGGGAGTCATCTTTCACATAACTGAGCAGAGATGAGGGAAGTCACCCCATTTCCCCCCACGCAACTGGGGTTCCACCACAGACACTTGTCATCTCAAAGCAACTAAAGCCGAGCCAGGTTCTCCCCATCCATGTGCCCTCCCAGACCCTCCCAAGTCTGTACGTAGCCAGGGCACCTTGCTTCTTCCAGGGTTGTCCACGTAAACATGCCTTTTTGTTAAGTGGGATCGTGGGTTGATTTGTTTCCCCCTAAAATATATGTCAACTTGACTGTGTCATGATTTTCAGTGGTTCGGCAGTTATATAGGGATATAGATCCACCCCCCACCCCCGCCATTGGTCAGCCAGTCAGCTGTAAGGGGGTTAGGGTGCGGTCTAACACCCTTACTCAAGTCTCAGCCTGGTCCCATGGAAGAGGACGTTCCAGGGGAAATTGTCTTTTATCTTACAAGAGATAAAAGAAGAGTAAAGTGAACAGAGAAAGAAGGACCTGATTACAAGCAAACAAGAAAAGCCAGAAAACAAATTTTTAAAAGAAAAGCCGGGAGCAGAGCATGTCCTTTGGCCCTAGGGTTCTGACACTGAGAACCTCCTAGACCTCGGGGAAGTTTGAGGCCCAGGCACATGGAGATCTCTAAAGAACACCAGGCCCACAGATGTTGAAAGGAGACAAGGACCTTCCTCAAGAGCTCACAGAAAGTGGCTGTATGTATGGATTGTGAGAAGCGCTGTACAAGCCCCCAATAACATACTTCTTTTTAAAAAAAGAAAGAAAATGGGCTTCAGAATAGAAAAGGATTGGGCCCCATCACATATAGCCCTGCTCAACCCATCCCCCACCAAAAAGAACGCAAGACTTCCTGCCTCATGGTCTAGTGCCCTGAGCGGCAGGGGGGCAAGGGAGGAAGGCGACAGCAGAACCAGCTCCTAGAAACTGCTTCTCAAACCACTGAGTGGCGGGGCAGCCAGG